CCATCATTTTTAATAGTGTTCCGAACCTCATGCGATTCTGTTCAATTCTATTCGATTCCAATTTTCGGAACTATACTCTAGAATATAAGTTAGTACAAATAAATTAGAGAAAAGACAATACTAAGATTAGGTTAGCTAGAATAGTTAATTAGATCTTTCATATAATAATTATAATTTTAATATTAGGTTAATAAAAGTTTATATATAATGTGCTTAACTTAAAAAAAAAAAGTAATATATATAAAATATAATATAATAAAAAAATATAATAATATAGATTTATATTACAAATTTAAAAAAATATATATATTATTTTTATAATTAAAATTATTGTTATAAAATTATTGTTATTATCTTTATTATTATTGTTTGTTTTATAAACTAATTTTTTTTAAAACAAAACTTTTCTTAAATTGTTATTTTTATTAATTATAAACTTTTACAAAAAAATTTTTGATATAAAATTTACTATAGTAAAGATATATTAAAACATGATATTATAGATATTGGTTTATTATTTTAAAATAAATACTATATATTCTATAAAATCTAATGGAAAAAGTAAAAGAAATTATTTATTTATAAATAGAAAATAAATTCTCTATTATAAAAAATATAATAAATTTAAATTTATTAAATGAAAATATTATTATAATAATTTTTTTACTAAATATAACTAATAAATAATTAGTAACAAAAAATTTTTATAAGTATTAATATTAACTATTACTTTTAGTCTGTTGTCACTTTAAATAAGTTAGAAATTTAAACTATTCATTTAATTAAGTATTGACTATTTTATAAACAAAATAATACAAAACATAACTTTATTGTTATATAATATTATTGATGTTATAATAGATATTTTATTATTTTGTAATAGTCTTTTATTTTAACTTATTTTTTTGTTTCTAATTTATTCTTTATATACTTGTTCAAAAGTGATTTTTTTATTTTTATATAATTTAATTTCTATACAATAAATAATATGAAATATTTAATTTTTTTCTTTGGACTTATATCAGAATTTAAAATATTATTGAATAAGTCAGAAACTTGAAGCTTTGGTTTTTTTATTAGAATTTGAAATATTATTAATTGTATTTGATAATAAAGCATTCTTACTTTATAATATAATATTAACTGAATATTCATATAGTTTAAATATGAGAGCATTATTATTATTTTGCAATTGTTTCTGTTTTAATTTCAAAATTCGGGATTTAAACTTGTAGAGTTTGCCATCTCTTAATCTTGTATTTTCTGTATTTTCTTTTACAGATTGCTCTAATTTTGATATTCTAGTCATAAGCTTTGTTTCCTTAGTTAAGAATTCCGACTTCTCTCTTTTAAGTTCAATATTCTTAACTACAAGCTTGGAAATCCATTCTTCTAATAAAGTAATTTTGAAATGTTTATTTGCCATTGATCTATTTAAGATATGAAAGTATTTAATTATATCCTTTAGACACAAAACGCTAGTGACTTAAATCATGTATACATGCAATCCCTTTTGTTAAGAAAAATTTGAAAAAATCTCAATCACTTTTCTTTATTAGCATAAATAAAAATATCACAGTACAGTTATTACTATGTAATACGGAGAAACTATCTACTAATATCTTTGATAATTTTTTGATTCGAGTCCTCTTATTGGACAGAGAATTATCAACCATTATCCAATCTTTTAATAGACCTACGATTATTCCCATTACCCGCTTTATGCTACTTCGAAGTATATTAGGTTTTTTTTTAGCTGCTGTTTTCGAGAAATAGCCCATCGGTGAAAATATCTAACATAGTGTCTGATATCATGAAAAGATAGAATAGTTAAACACAGATCATTGCTCCGCAATAAAATTTGGTTGATGAGAATAAAAAAATCGTTTTTTTTTGTTTGTATGATATGCACTTTCGAATTGCATAATATTCTGAATATTTCTTCGGCAATGCACGTGAGATCTTCCTTTCCCTTGATCACGTAGAAACATTCTTCTACAATGATATGTAGAATTTTTCTTCCTTGGTAAGTCTTCGAACGATGGCAAGTAATACATGTAGGATGGATCACAATGAGTCGCTTCGTTGGCACCAGTCATTGTCTCAATATTTGTTAGTATTAATATTATGTACACGGTGCTTAAATGCTTTGTCATTATCATCGATTTTTACGGAATCTATAAAAAGAAGAAATAAATTATTATATCTGGAAATTTTTACGAGGGAATGGTTTTAACTAGAATTTTTTTTTATTTTCCGATGTACGGTTTGTTCTGGACAACAGTTCTATTTTTAGTGTAAATATTTATCCAAAATACTCTTGATGATAGGATGGTTCTTGGAAACAGTCATCTGGAAGAACATGTTGGGGAGGAATAATTGTATCAAAGGACGCGTTGTTCTTTTAAATAGACATACAATACAATTTAGGTGTGATTTCTTTAATATCACTGAACATTAACTGCTTATATTATTATCCAGTTGAAGTGTATGCCTCATTTTAGAATCTTCGAATAAAGGATGAAAATTAAATTTTCCTCCACGTAGCAACCTTTGATGAGCGAGTCGCTCAAATATAGCACCTCGAAGTGTACTATATTCGCTTATATCATCACTTGTATTCACGAAATTCTGCAAGTCATATTTGTAATTTCGTGAGAGTCTATCCACTACCTTTTCAGAAACATGATCGGACGCAAACTCTAGAGTACACTTTTTATAAAAGGGTACCCCTTCATAATATCTCCCTGCAATACCTTTCCTTTTATTTGGTTTAGTTACTGTAGGAACCGTTGACATAGAAGGTACTCCAGACTCATTTTCCTCATCTTCCTCTCCCTCTCCTGGTACGTTTGTACATATGTGGACGAGTTCGTGACATGCGCTACTGTTATAATTGTCATCGGTGATTTCACCAACAAAATTCAATATCTTATCATCGAATAAATTAATTGCATTCTCCAGAAGACTTTGTTGGACAGAATCGAGAGCATGAAATAAGACATATCGAGGAATCCCTCCCCATTTATTATACAATTCCCGAACTGTTTTTCGAGTAAGATGTTGAAAAATCCTAATATTATCTCTGCATAAATTGAGCTCAGTTAAAGACCACACCGGCATGTACCGTATATCTATCCCAAGTTGATCGAATATTTTATAGTACTTTTTCTGGGGCGAACAAATAAGAATTATTTTTGCACGACATTGCATCGGTTCCAATGCATCCACGATATACCAAACTTCTTCTCTTCCTAAGTAATCTTTGAAATCGTGAATATTATCTATGGTATTACAGAAAACTTTTTTATCGCTGAAGAGAATTGGAGACCTGCCGTTTTGGTGTTATATTACAGTTCTATTTTGCTTTGCAAGCTGATAAAGTAGGTAATAACCTAGGAAGGTTTTTCCAATTCCCGGGTTGCTGGTAATACGCCAACGAAAGATATTGACATTCCCAAAAATGATCTCGGACAGATGAAGATAGCAGTCACGAATGAACAGGGTGGATATGTTGGAACCAAAATCATCTTTGCCTAGAAGATAGGAAGCGTCCTCGGACAGTTGAAGGAACTGGCCTGCTACTGTCGCATTCTTCAAAGCATTCCAAACCTTTTCAAGACATTCATCGTCATAGTTATCATTAATTTTTCTTCGTTTGCTAGAAGGTTGTTCTAAATACGGAAAATAATTAACGTCGCAAAATCATATACTGTAACTATATTAACCCAATAAACTTGAATACATACCAGGTACATTTAAAATGATTTGTATAGGTGTGTCATAAGTATTTACAAAACTTTCATCAACAGTTAAATCCGCACGCAAATCTGTTTCTTCACTGTGCCTTCTTAAAGTAATATCATCAGTCGCTACATCATTCAACTTGGGTGACAGTTCCTTCTTTATCGCTTCTATCAAATCATCCACATCTTCTCCATCGAAACCAATTTTCACTGGTTGGCTATTACCATACTTTGCCCAGATTTTGAACAAAGAGCCGATGCGAATTCTCCCCAAACCTATTTTTTTGCGGACGGCAATGAATCACTCCTCTACAAGATAATATCTGTAATAAGTCTAGAGGAGCATTTTTAAATATTTCGATACCTCTGCCTTGTGTTGATACACTAGTTGTGCCAGATGTGCCAACGTCCTCTACGGAAAATATTTTTTCATTAATTATATACTGTATAATGCTCGAAAATACATATACTGCGTATATACATTACCTTTTTCTTTTTTCAGTGACATTTTACAGGACACAATTGATTGCGATATACTTTCTATTTTTCAATAAAAAGCCCACAAGCTTTACTGTAATTGTTATTTATAAGCGTCACATTTTACAATACTAGATATAAAAAAAATGTCGTCATATTTTTTAGTCACGTGTATATTACGCGTATTACGCGTTGTTTACTTTTTTCAAATTATTTAACGTATATTTAAGTGGTGGAATTTTTGGTTGCTTCCCCACTATTAGGCTTCTTCCTGATCCTTTTTCCAAATCAAAATCCTTCCTGTTGCGAGGAAGGTTTTCTTTCCAAACTTTCTTATCGAACCGAAATATTCTCCACTGCAAGAAAGGTCTCTTTTCTAATATTCTACCTCACAAAAATCTCTAGCTATGGAAAAAACAGCTAAGTGTTTCCTTATGACGTTGTGTTCTGATCGAGTCTGCGATGTAGGTAACAAGGTCTACTGGTTCCTAATGAGGGATCGGTTATGAACCTTCCTTGCGCAACTGCAACATGGGCAAGTGGTAAAGCCTGTTTCCTATCGTTCGTTGATCCTTAGAGGTGTGATGGTTTAGTCGAGGAATAGGAGCAATAGATCCAGCCACGATTATACTATTCACCTCTTTTTGAGTGACACGGGCTTTAGTGTATATTGGGTCTTCATTGCGAACACCCTTTCCTCTAATTTTTTTTTTTAATAATGTTGTGAGCATAATCAACGAGTCTGTGGCGAATTCTGGCAGTCCTTCACATTGCGGATGATCAAAGGTAAATAATCTAAAGCTTTTTTACTCTTAAAACGTTCCTGATATGATCGGTTTTACACTTTTATCCCTTAGGCAAGTTCGGTCCTTTCGCCCAGTTACAAATATTTGGCACACACGTGAAACAAGTTAAGAGTTTATTTTAACTTGGTGCTTATTTATTATTAGAACGCGAGTGCAACTCTTTTACATGCTATTCTAGAGATTCCCATCCAAATTTCCCCGCCGTTCACGAAAACATGTTGACGTAACGTGATACCGCGTTGCACACCTGCGCCACATTTACCAATAAAAACAGTTTCCACGAAACTTTCTACGTGTTATTTTCTTTTTATTATTGATTATTTTATGAGATTGTTCTTTAAGAAATTTGTCGAAATGATATCTTTTAATTATCTTTATGTATAATAGTAGTTACTTATATACTTTTAAATTACGAATTAAAATAAACTTAATACAAAATTTTTGACTTATAAGAATATCGACGTGGATGTCCCAAACAATTCTAAGTTCGAACCAGAAGGTATATTTACGCATAAAAATGAGATCCGGAAATACAAAGAAGAAATTGAGAGTTTGTCCTGACCTTGACATTAATATTTAATAATTTTTTTTAAAAATAAAATTTTAGTGCTTCGGACCCTAACGGATTCCGTTTTCTAGTTTAGTATAGTGGAACTAGTATCTTAATATACGGAATTACCGAAGGCAGACAGAATGTTCTTCAGTCACGTGCGCGTTAATTTAAATTCGTAATTTTTATTAGATCTCATTAAAATTGTCTCAAGAATGCTTCGAATGTTGAGCTTTCCTCTTCAGAAATGTTGGAGGCTCTTGAGTTCTAGGTTTTTTTCTTCTATTCCTCCCTCTCATTAGATTATTAACCATTTTCTCGTTTCCGAATCCAGGAAAGAATCAATTTCCTTTCTTCAAATGATTTTGGATATCTTTGACACGGTTGAGATAAATTAACAGGAGATATTTTTGATATTGATTCTTCAGGAATAAATCATCTATTTTCTTATTTAATACCATTGATACCCCTTCTATTGTCTTGGTGTTGGTATTATTTCATTGGTTCACTATAGATTTAGATAAATGTATATTTAAATTAAAAAACATCTATATAAGAAAATCGTTTTCTTTTGGGAGATAACAAAGTTACCTAGTTTCATTTTAATTCAATAAAAATTTTCTTTATTAATGATAAACAATATTTTGTTTTTAATATTCTTTTCATACCAAATATCATATTTAGCAAACATATATACTGTATATGTGATAAAAATTTAACAAAATAAATAGAAATATGACAAAAATCAAAAACCAATATATTTTATAAAAAAATTTGGCAAAAAAATACAGTATATACAGTATATGTTATAAATAAAATTTAATAAAAAATTTATATATGAAAATTTTAACACATAAAAAAATCATTAACTTTATTGACAAAATATAAATGAATATTATAATCAAATTATTATAAAATTTATATATTAATTTAAAGCTTATATTATATATTATCGATTTGCTTGATTTTTTAAATTATTTATTGTTTTATTTAATAATTGGAAACATTATATCAAATAAAATTTTTTAACTAGTAATATTATGAATTTTAAACTTAAAAATATTAAAAACTTTAAAAATTATTATTATACAATATTATAATATAAGTTTAAAAGTTTTATTTATATTATAATTATATAAAAAATTTATAATAATTTTTTTTTATAATTTTGATTTATATACAATATATAATAATAATAATAATATTATTATTATTATTTTGGATTTTTTTTATTATTAAAAGTGATATTTAAAGATATATTTAATTAAAATTATTAAATTTTGTACTTGTCTTAATTCAATTTTTTTAATAAATGTTATTTTAATATCTAATACTATCTAATATTAATTATTATTTACAAAATTATAATTAATTATAAAAATCAAAACTTATTTAAATATTTTTATATAATTTAACTTTTTATAAATACAGTAAATATAAATTATTATTAAATTATAGTTGTTATTTTATAATAATAATAATATCTTTTATTTCAAATAATTTTTTAATATGATATGTTACAATTGATTCTTATTTAAATAAAAAAATAATTGATATATTATTTTAAATATTCTGTTTAAATAAAATTATACATTTTAAATTTGCTTACAATACAATAAATAAATATTTTAAAAAATACTATATGTTTATATAAATTATGAACTTTGCAAAAAATGTATTTTTAAAAATAGATTTGTTCTTTTCAAATGGTTTATTAATTTATTTAAATTTTGAAAAAAAAAATCATTATTATTTTAAATATGTACATTTTTAATAGTTTTTTTGTTAATAATCAAATAATAATTTATTGTTATCAATATGTTATATTGCTTGTAATACTATATTTGTTACATACTGTAATTTTTACATTCTCCCTATTATAAAATTTAAATTAAAAATATTTTTTATATAATAAATTTGCAAGAAATTTCTATAATTTAAAAATCATTAGATATGAATACTTTAGTATTTGATAAAACGGTTAAAAAAATTTTAATGAACGTTCTTAATGATATTTCTTAATAAAAATAATCTACATCTAATAATCTTCAAGTATCGAATTAAGATAGTTTGATGATGTAATATTTTTAAAATTTATTACCATTTAATTTGTTTTCTTCAAACATTCATAAACTTTCTTCTCTAATTTTCTAATAACGTCGTGCTCACTAATTAAAGAGGCTATTAAATAGATCACATTTCCCAATGGTCTCGAGGATATCGCTATGTCATTATTTAAATCGTTTGAATAATTTGACAATTGCTTTATAATATGAAATGAGATTTCCGAAGCATAACCTGATAAATAATATAATAAGTAACTAACATTCATATTTCTCTTTTAAAACCATGACTCAAAATAAAAAACTTACCACCACCACCTATGTCTTTCAATTCAATTGCCAACACGGTTCCTAAAGCAAATACCCCTTCAACATTTGGCAAGCAAGATATTTTTCCTATCATCTAAAATATAATCAATATATATATATATATTTATTTATTTATTTAATATAACTATTACCATTATTAAAAGAACATTGAGAAAAATTGCAAACCTCTTGACTCCACATGCTCCAAATCCCGCTGCCATTCTCATTCTTCCAATTGTTCATTCCGAGCTTCCAATTTTCATTTTCATTGTTCATTATTTCATACTCTTCGATGGCTTTGTTAGCCACCATACAACCAATTGGGTGAGCAGTATAGGAATGTCCATGCAATAATGAATCAACCTTAGTTGCACCAAGGAAATTATTGAAAATAGAAGTTGTAGTGAGCGTCGTGGCTAGAGGCAGCAAACCACCTGTCAGAAGCTTCGCATATGTTGCTATATCTGGGGTCTTGATAAAAGGGAGCGTAAATTTTATAAGCTGCAATTGGTAAAAATAATCAGTTCAAAATACTCACAACGCCCAAAATATCTGCACCACTTAGTCTTCCCAATCTCCAAAACCCAGTGAAAACTTCATCATATATCACCGGCAACCCTTTCCAATCATTTTCGTTCCACCCTTTTCCTTCAACATTTCCACCATTCCAGTGATCCCATTCTCTTACAAACTCAACTAGTAATCGTTGGAACAGAGGATCCACCAATATCATCCCACCCGCACCCATTAACACTGGTTCGATCAATAGAGCTCCGAATCTGTAACCTTCTTTGACATTTGAAGAGATCACTTCTTCAATTTTTTTTTTGTAGATTGATGAAACTATGTCGGTATTTTTTCGAGATGGCGAAAAAAGAGAGTTTAATGATGAGTATTGAAATTCTTGATTTGTGAATGGAACTTTTAAATTGTAAATATTGTTCTTCATTTGAATTTGCGGCGGATCAAACCATACTCCTTTTGGCGTATACCTTTGTTAAAAAAACGGTCACTTTCTTGTATTCGTAAACCCGCAACCATAATTTAGTGTGTGCACACATACCAGATAACCTGTTCATTGTAAACATTAGGCCCACAGGCATCCATGACACCTATAGTGTCGCCATGATAACTTCCATTCATTCCCAATATTTTCACGTTCTCGATTTGATCGGTAAAATTATATCTCAAAGTACTAGATTTTAATGCCATCTTTAGAGCAACCTCCATCGCTGTACTTCCATTGTCAGAATAGAACACTCGTGAAGCCCATTTGTATCCAGCAGTTCTTAATAATGTTTGAGATAATGATAATGCCGGTTCGTGAATGGATTCAGGAAATATTACATGACCATAGCGACCGGCAGCATGTGATGCAGCCAACGATAGTTTGGAAGAACCATGCCCGAGACCTTTGAAATTTATCAATAAAATAATCGATCGCAGATGGCATAAATTTATCAATTCCCTAGTAACATGATAAATGACGACTCTGCCTACCTTGAGTCCACCAACTAGCCGATCCATCAAACATTTCTTTCATCACACCTATTTTTCGGTCCTGACCAATGTTTTCTTTATTAATCTTCATCCTCATTTCGTTTGTCCCATCGGTCTTTCCTTCCCCACCCTTTTCATAAACCATCATAAAGTCGCCAAAAGCTGAATCAATCACATTAACATTGTCGACCTTTTTGTGTTGTGTGAATGGCCACCAAACAACTTGTTCGGTCAATTCACCCATCTCGTCTAATCTATCAAATCTTTTGTGATGCCAATCATTTAATTTTTCGATTATGCTCACAAATTTAGAGTGATTTTTGTTAAAGTATTCTTTCAATTGGAGTTGATCGCGATCAAAAGATGAAGAGAGTGGTGGTGGTGGTGGAACGGTTGCAACAATTACGTTATTATTTTTGTTATTATTGTAAACATTCCTTGAAAATTTCATAAAAAAATCTTCAAGAAAATTGTGATTCTTCAATTCTGCATTTTCAAATAGAAGTATTATGGGGATATCGTAACCACGCATATATAATGACTCAAAAGAAGATATTGTCGCAGAAATGCCGCCGAGGTTACTATCACCAACGAGGATTGTTGGTAATCTGAGTGGTCGGTAAAAATCGGATTGCAGAGTCCCTAGGTTTTTATATATAGATACAAACTTTAGGAGAAAAAATGTGATTTAAAACCACATCCTTAATAACTTACCGGACATCACTGGACTTGTTACGCCTTTAAAATTCGGAGTAGTAATAATAAAATTAGCTAATTACATGTGATGGCTTGAAATGCATACTAGTTAAAAATACCTCCAGCTGTCTCTAAGAACAATGCCCCATCGTTATCTCCACATTCGCGCGCAAACTCTAAAATGTAACTTTTAATTGATAACAAAACATCACGATCTTTTGGTATCTAAATTCGTAAGTAATTTATGAGAGCTGATGATTAAATTAAAAAAAAAAAAACTTTTTTTTATTACGATTAGTCAGAAATTTACTTGATTACGGCCAACAGCAAGATGTGGACTCACAGGTTCTTCATAGGCGAACATAGTTTTCAATTTGACCTGCATATCTGCATCTATTAAATTTTCTACAAACTTTGAATCCGAAGATTTAGGATATCCCGTTTGTATTGGTTTGAGATAGCAAGTTTTATTGAATGGAAGTTTCGAGATCGTCTGTCTTTCTCCTAATGAATCTTTATTTGGCCTTGCAGAAGCTCGACACAGTCCTGCTGAGAATAAAGTTTTTCCGAGGTTCGTGTTTGCGGCGAAGAGTTGATAGATTTGGAATTTACGAGTTGGATGATACATTTTTCGTGCTTGATTATTATGTAGATTCTATTGCAATTCAATTCGGTATTATTTATGCTCGCATGTAATTTGAGAGTGATAAGACTGATGAGCAAAAGAGCTACGGGAGAATAAACAACTTAAATGCTGGTCTGAAAGATGGGTCATATTTAAAATTAAAAATTAATCCAAATTTATAATTAGATAGGTATCGCTGAAACTTTTTAGTCCCTACTAAACTATTCAACAGCGGTGCTAAAGAATCCCACAGAAATTTCATATTATGTCCGACAAGTAATTCTGCGTTATATGGAAGTAAATCAACGAGTATATTTTTTCCAAAAAAAATTTTTTTATAATTTCCTGTGCATGATTTTCATTTAATCACAATTACGAGTATGGAAAATATTTCTTGTAAAGTCAAAATCAGTGTGACATCAATTTCACTAACCAGCGTTTGTTTTCTTTCATTCAAATTTGCATTATGGTATATCTTTAATAATTTTGCGGCATGCATATTTAGCTATGCTATGAAGAAATAAGACTTGACTTTTTTTGAAAGATATTCATTAAGTTCAACAACGAAAATTAATTATAAATACGTAATTGATTAATAAATAAGCGCACAATTTTAAATTTAAAAATAATTAATTTATAATAAAAAAAGAAGAAAATTAATTTATAATAAAAAAGAAGAAAAAAAAAATTAATTTATAAAAAAAAAAAGAAGAAGAAATAAATTAATTTATAATAAAAAAAAGAAGAAAAAAAAATTAATTTATAATAAAAAAAAAGAAGAAAAAAAAATTTTTTTATAATAAAAAAAAGAAGAAAAAAAAAATTAATATTTTAAATTATTGATCAATTACTGAATATACTGTATATCAGATTAAATGTATTTTTTTAAAATCCTAATAAAATTATTTTTATAAAGTTTTTTTAAAAAATTCATATCAAAACATTATTTAATTAAGATTTGTGATTAATATACTGTAAATATACATGCATTTAAATCTTATTTAAAAAATTTGATATATTTAAACAAATAAAAAAAATTATAATAATATACTGTATATATATTAAAATTAAAGATTCAATATAAATATTTGTTAAAAATAATTATATATAATAATTTATATAATTTAAAAAAATTTAATTAATTTTTTTTTTTGAGAAGAAAAATTTTGTAATCTTTTTCCTGTTTAAATTGTATTATTCTATATTAAAATCAATTAATTAAGTGTTCTATCCTTTTCTTATAGTTTGTTGTTTTTTAATTAATATTTAATAAACAAAATATATACTAGTTATTATAAAAAAATATATTAATAGTTAACTTATTTATATATAACTAATTATATATCATTAACTTCATACTATATATAATAATTATCTAAATCTAAAAAAAAAAAACTCTCTCTTGATCGTGTCCGTTTTGTTAAAAATTTTCCTTTTATAGTAATTTTAAGCAAGAAAAAATGTTTTACACTCTTTATCGCAAGTG